GTCTCCTCTGCCCAACCAGGCCGAGGAGCCGAAGGAGGGTGACGGGGGACACTCCCTCCCGGTCACGTCGTGCATTATTTTTATAATTTAGAAAGGCACGTTTTATTTTTTTGAAGTCTAGACATTTTGGAGAAACGGGAACCCCAAGAGGAACAGCAAAATCGACTTCAAGCGCCCCACTGAAAGAGAAGTCCACCCGCAGCCGGGCTCCCTCCGCAGCTGGCGGGACCCGCAGGCGCTCTGGGTCCCCACGGGGTGGCGGCAGTCCTGCGGACAGGTCTGGTGCAGTGGCGAGGGCGGGGCATGGCCCCCCCAGGCCAAAGAGCCAGCGGGTGCTTGTGCTGGCCAAACAAGCCGTCAGACGCCACTTCCATTTCTCATCATTTCTTTTGCCACAAAATACCTTCAGTGTAAAGCTAGAACAGAGAGACCGACACCCCGGCCATCTCGCCTCTCCGGATGGTCTCTGGCCTGCCAGACAGTCTCTGGCCCACCGTCTCTCCACACAGTTGTAAATGTTGACCACGAGTTCCCGGAAGATCAGGCCTTGTCTTTCTCAAGCCTCCTTGAGTCTCACGGCAACCCCACAGGGTGTGTCTTGAGCCAAAATGTCACCTATCTGGAAGGAAACGGCTGGACTGCTGCTTATGTAGGTCCAGGCCCAGGCTAAATCCGGGACGCCGTCGGTCCATGCGTTACCGGGTCCTCGAGAGCCAGTGGACTCGGGCTCTGTCCATTTTCCTGCCGAGCGGCGTGGTGGGGCGAAAGTGTGTGAGCGTCACACAGAACCTCAAGGAGCCCCAGACCTGCCGGCAGTTCTGTGTCGGCCCCTTGGAGTTTTGCTCAGAAATTCATTCACAGTTGTGGGTTCCACAGATCTGGGAGTCCCTGGCAGGCGAGCCGGGAGAGGAGGCCGCCCTTCCCGAACGCTCAGGCCAGCAAGAACAGCGCTGGAGGTCCCGACTCTGGCTGTGTCTGGCTGCATTCGGCGTGGGCCGCACCCTGGAAGCCCGCGCCAGCAGCCCACGCCCAGCCGGCCTGGACCGCCCGGCGTACCCCGAAACATGGAGCGCGGGCTCCGTCCTCCTGCACACCCCGACCCCTCCCGGGTGAGCTCGCCTTTCCGGGAAGTGACTCACTTTTCCTTCTGCAGTAAAGATCTGAAAACCAAATGCCCAGACCCGACACTTCCCAGTGACGGGAGGGGTCTGCTGCACCAGGGGTCAGCTGGGGCCGGGATCAAACCCGCACCAAGGCGACCCTGCGCTTTGACGCCCTGTGCCCCCAGCGAGGGCCCAAATTGTGCGGTTATTAGAGGGGCGCCTACGTCGTGCTCATCGTCCGGCCGTGAGAGACAGAGCCAGTCAGGAACTCAGCGTTGAAGGGAGGCCTCAGCATGCGGCAGCCTGTGGCCTCCTCCGCACACGGCCCGG